GTCGCCCTGGCTCCGGGGCTGAGAGTGGCGCCCAGGTGGCATTGCTGAGGGTCGCCCTGGCTCCGGAGCAAGAGCAAGGCCTCCTCCTGCCCTGGGGAGGGTGGGTGGGGTCCCGCAGCCACCTGCGCCCGCCTCACCTGCAGACGCCGCACTCCAGAGAGCCCTTGCCTCCGCAGAGGCCACGGTTCTGGCTCTGGTCCCGGCACCGGCACTCACACCGGGGCAGGACCTGCACGGTCACTGTGTCTGTGAAGCCCAGCGCTCGGATGACAAAGGACTGCTCCTGGATGCACTCGGTGGCGGTGACCCGAACCTGGAAGGTGATCTGCAGAGAGGAGTGGCAGTGCTCAGGTGGGACCGGAGGTGACCAGGGTCACAGCCTGCCTCTGTCCCCTCACCCAGCCCTAGGGGTCATGGGGCTTGTGTGGATGGAGGGTGCTGGCCTCTCAGATTAACTTGGGGAGGAGGCGATGTGGACTGTCCCCAGCTGAGAAGAAAAAGGAAGCACTGGTGCTCGGGGGTCAGTGCCGTGGGCTCTGCCATCACCAAGTGCGCCAAGGCCCAGACCAGGGTGAAGGGCCAAGTTGTGGGGACAACATGTCCACGTATCCTGTCCATAAGTCCAGTGTGCTAGGCCGACAGAGTCCCAGGGAGTCCTGGGCCTGGGGTGGAGCTACATTCTGAGCCCGGGAAGGGGGAAAGCCCCAGTCCAGGGGCCGTCAACCAGGGGCACGAAGGTGCGCAGTCAGCCCCAGGCCCAGCAGAAGGCCCTGTACATGCTGTCCCAGGAGGGCAGACGCCACCACTGGCCACAGCGTGGGTTAAATTCAGCCATGAATGGGTCCGAATGATTTCTGCACTGTACTTTAACGTAGAGCAGGAATGTCGTAAAAACGCATAACAAACAAACAAAGCAAGTCAGAACTACTCCCCGCAGGGCATCCTGGGACATTCTGGTAGAACTTCATCAACATCTAGGAAGTAGCATCTGAAGTAAGTCCAGGCTCATATTTAAAAATGCAATAAAAGCAGACATTTTGATAAATATTAGTTCACAGAAAAAAGAAAAAATGAATAACTTGATGACGATTTAAATCTGAACCATTAGGGAACTCGGTGACTTTCTGGTGGCTCTGCGTGGCAACTGGCTGCCCCCAGGGGGCGCTGTCGTTGTGAGCGCTTCCCCTACGCTGGGGGGCACCAGGGAGTTGGGGTTCTTAGGAGTGTTGAGAAACCTGCTGGTGCCTCCCGGTCCTCTCCCCTGCACTGGGCACATCCTCACGGGGCCTGTCTGGCCTCGTCAGAGGATGTGAAAGGTGGGAACACCSGGCTGGCCGGGGACACCGCTTCCCCTACTCCTTGGCCCCATGGGAGCCTCTGCTGGTGTCACGAGATCCCTAGCTGACCTCCCAGGGTGAGGGACTCACCGGGACGTTGATCTGCACGCCGTCACAGTCCCCTCGGGGCTGGCCCTTGTGTGACTCTCCTTTACTGCAGAAGGAGTCGTAGGAGACCCTCAGGGTGTCGGGGATGGTGCCGTGTTCCAGGAACACCCTGGAGGAGAGTTTCTGCAGCAGAGAGGCCTGCTCAGGGCGCTGCCCGCTGCCCAGTCCTCTGGCCGTGGACCTGCCTCTCTCCTCCCGGCCCCACATGGGTAAATGACACACAGGTCCACTAGGAGCTCAGCAGGATGTGCCAGGGACCGGAGGGCAGCACTGCCAGTGCCACAGGCCTGCCTTCAAGACAGGCCACCTGCCAGGACCCACATGGACCGGGCCCTGAGCCCCATGAGGATGTCCTCTCAGCACCGAATCCCAGCGTCAGCACAGGGGGCAGGAGAGATTGATGAGGGGGACGGACGTGGACAGAGACAGAGAGATGGAGAGGGCCACCCCAGGAGGAGAGCTKCGGCAGAGCTCACCCAGTCCTCACGTGAAGACAGAGACGCGGGCAGTGGCCAGGGCACAGGAGGCCTGCGGGGTCCGGAGCTCACCAGAGGTGAGAGGCCGATGGGCCTCCTGCAGGCCTCTGTTCAATCTGGGGCAGCAGCGCTCAGGGGAGCCTGCCTGCTGTGGCCTGGCCTGCCTGTGTCAGGCACCACTCGGTGCATGCCCTGGTCCACCAGGGGTCCCCCAGGGAGCCATCCTGGGCTGCAGGTGGATGACCCACACTAAGGGGGAGGACCAGGGACGAGGACCCCTGAGGGGCTTGCCCAGGGCGGGGTAGGGCTGACAGGCAGAGAGTCCACCTCGAGGGCTGGACCCGGGTCCACCAGGGTGATTTCCAGGGCTTCCATCCCTCCTGGGATGCCACATCTGGCCCCCAGCCGTCCACCTCCTACTGCTTCATGGCCACCAGCTGGCAGAGCCCGGGTGACAAGGGCCTGGGGCCTGTGTTTCAGGAGGGTCCCTGGGGGTCTGGGGTGGCACCAGCCACACCATTATTGAGAGGACACAGAGCTGGCTGTGTCCAAGAGGCTGAGTGGGTCCTGCAGGGGCTGCAGGGGGCCACGGCTGGGCCCTGTGATGCAGCCCTCCCCCACTTCTGCTGACCAGCAGCTGGGAGGGCAGGATTGGCCACCCGAGGGGTCCAGGCCCCGGCCCACCCTGCGGGGCAGTGGAGGGGACTCACGTTGTAGGCATCCTTGATGAGCTGCACCACGTTGCTGGAGTCCTCAGACAGCTCCCCCACGGCCGACTTGGGGATGATCTCTGTGAGTTTCTGTGGGTGAAAAGGCCGGGTAGGGGGCAGCTGGCACCTGGTGGTGCACGAGCACCTGGCATGTGTGGCACCCGCTGACCAACCGGCCCTCGGGGAGAGACAGCCCTCGGCAGAGGCTCTGCTCGTTCTGTGATTTAAATGCTCCTACCCTGGTGGACTTGCAGCTGGTGACATGGCTGAACTGGGGACACACGCCCTGTTCAGCTGGGTGGCATCCCCAGCACACCAGCCCAGCAGACAGAAGCACACCCGGCCCAGACAGCAGCACCACGAGCAGGGATCAGGGAGGGGGGCTCTGAGCGTGTGGTGGGTGTGGTTTGATTCTGACAGGGACTGTGTGCATAACCCTGTGACAGCTCTGATAGACCCGTCCTGCTGTCCAGAGTGTCCATGGTGGGGGCCACACGGAGCCTGGACGACAGATGGACCAGTCTCTCCCACACCCACCTTGGCGTTGTTCAAGTGCTGTGCCGATTTCTCAAAAATACAGTCGCCGCCCCCCCCCCAGGAGCACACAGCTGATGGTCGGCCACTTTCCTGCCCAGCACCCTCCATGAGGCCACAGTGGAGTCCAGTCCCCTGCTCCCACAGAAACGCACGCTGAGGAGGGCTGGTGGGCTCTGCCCTACACCCTCCCTGTGGCCTTAACCACCGCAAGAACCGAGGCTCAGGAGGCCCGTGACCCCAAGGCACAGAGGTGGTGGGCTGGGGACTCGGGTCTCCTGTCTGCACCCTGCTGCTCCCTGGGACGATGCCTACAGAGCCCTGGGACCAGCTGCAACCCCACAAGAGGGGACCTCACAGGTGGAGACATGGGCCTGTGTGCTCTCCTGCCCAGACTCTATGTCCACCCTCAGCCCTGACCTGCAGGGGGCAGCACAGAGCACAGGCGGGAGGGCAGAGGTACACAGCTGGATTTCACGTTTGTCCCCTGGAGGAGGGTGGTGGAGGGGACCGGGATGCAGTCCCAGCTAAGGAAAGGTCTCTGCCACCCAAGGATGACTCTTCCCACCAGGCAGCTGCTCTGAGCTCACTGCGGGGGAGCTCAGGACTGTGAGGGTCCTCCCAGGGGTGTCATCGCCCCTCAGGGAGGAAGCTGAGGATTCAAGCTAACAAACTGGCCCAGGTGGCCCAGTGGTAACGGAGCTGGGACCTGAGGCCGGCCGTCCGGGCCTGTCCACTCTGAAGAACTGGTCATTAGGCGGTATAAATATGATGGCCACCTTCCTCTGCTCAGGCCTCCTGCACCGTCTCCTTCTGGCCTCAGGACCAGGTGCTGGGCAGCTGCTGGGAGCAGAGGGCTCCTCTAGGGAGTGAGGTGCAGCACTTCCCCTTGTACCCAATCCCCGCTGCAGGGTAAAGGGCTGTCCACGCCCTGCACACTGTGGAGAGGACTGGCCCCTGGAGGTGACCTCAGAACGTCCTGCCTGGGCTGGGGCCACTCCAGGCAGCCCAACAGTGTGATTTAGGAGCACCTTGGGCCAGGTTGGATCGGCTTGGTTTCCCAAGGGGCTGGAGGTCAGTCATCAGCCATGTTTACGCAATCGACCTGAATAAAAACCCTGGGGACCGAGGCACAGGTGGGGGGTGCTTCCTTCCCCAGCGCTGGGCGGCTGCTTCAAAGCCGAGGGCCGGCTGTGTTGGTCCTGACTCCTGCTCGCGGGCATTTACAGAAGGTGTGCCCAGCCCACGAGGGGAGAGAGGTGCTCTCGGCCAGCACAGCGGGAGCTCCCAGGGGAGGCGCACAGCATGGCAGGCTCGGGTTCCTGCTCACCGGGGTGCCATCTGCCTGTGCTTATCTTTCTTGGTGAAAGTGTCCATGTTCGAAGGTGTGTGGGTAGAAAACAAGAAAATTTCCCCAAAACAAAAAGTTGGATCCACAGATACAAGAGACTTGCTGCATCCAGCAGACAAGGAGACACCTCCGTCAGCATCGGGCCATGAGGCTGGGCAGGGTCCTTTGTCCCCATGGAAGGGTCCCATCCCCTAAAGGGAACTTCAGCCTTAGGTTGTTCCGGTCACATCCACTCGTGGTCACAGACGCCCACACAGCAGTGCACAGAAGCAGGACCCAGGGACGCTGTGGCAGTGCTGGGCTGCCATCCTCCTGCTGACCAGACCCGGCCCCCCCCCACTGGCCCAGGACCCAGCCCCACTGACCTTGTAGGTCGGCACCATCCTCTGAGTCACCGCGAAGATGGGCTGGATGTTTTTTTCAGCCAGAGCGTGTGCCAGCTGGCCCACCGAGGGGTAGTCCTGGGGAGGGGGTGTCCAGTCAGACAGTGGCCCGCGAGGCTGGGGACAAGCCTCCCACGCCACACAGAGGAGGCAAGTGGCCAAGGCCCCCGGGCACCAGCACCAGCTCAGGCCCTGCCCGTCCCCGTGTTGTGCCCAGAGGGGRCAAAGCAGAGAGGAGACACAGCTGGAGAACCCGGAGAATGGCTGTGCCAGRGCACGTGGCCGCTCCCGCTTCCCAGCACTGACCAGTGCGTGAGCAGCCTGTGGGGYGTCTGTGCCGCCGTGCGGGCTGGGGAACACCCGGGGCCCTACCRGGGCAGAGTCTGGGACACGTTGCTCACCACAGTGGTGCCCAGAGACCATGGTCAAGGTCAGGACACGTGGATCAGAGTCTGTGGGCTCCAGGTGGGGGACCCCTGAGCCGACCATCTCTAAAGCCTTTTGCACCACATTTGGGAGGGCAGGGGAGGGGCCGCCCAGGGGTGGGGACACTGTTAGGTGGATGAAGGTGACTTGGGAACAGAGCGCACCACACAGCCCGTGTGAGCGAAATGAACCCGAGTCAGGCACCCACAGAACCGCCTGTCCATCAGCAGGGTCTCCTGGCCAATCCCGGATCTCAGCCAGTTCCCCGACCAACTCCAGGGGGACAAGGGGCTCTGAAAACCCCTTTTCCTGCCCCCCAGCCCTTCCTTCCTGCCCCCAGCCCTCCCTTCCTGCCCTAAGCCAGTGGAGCCCCCACGCACTTCTTCTCAGACCCTCTTCTTACTCTCCTGGTCTGAGAGTTCTGCCCGGGAGTGGRGTCTCAATAAAGCCTCGTTCAGTGGCCTGTGAAATCTGCCTCCTTTGGGTGGCCACTGCCTGACCTTATGGACACCGAGCCCTGGTGAGCCTTTCCTGAGGACAGGGAGGGGGCCCTGGCTGAAGCCTGGGGCTAAAGGGTCAGTTCCTGCACCTGACCTTACCRGCCAGGGGGACAGTGTGCCTGGAGCCTGTCTGCAGGGCCCAGGCCCTGGGGGAGAGGGTCAGGGCTGCCTGCCACCCTCCGCCCCGCCTGGCCGGAGGCAGGGTCTGAGGGACCTCACGGCGGCCACTCGGAGCTTTGGGAAGCTCCTTAGACTTGTTATCCAGGTGAAGGAGGTGATGTCCAGGGCCTGGGGCCCTGCAAGGCCTCCTCCCTCAGCAGAGCCCTGCCCCACGCCGCCCGCAGAGGCTCACAAACTCATTGCTGCGCTTGTACAGGTTGTCCTCCAGGTGGCAGCGGCCATCGTTGGGTGTCAGGATGGCGCCCAGCTTCCCGTCGCCCGCGAAGTGGAAACCATCATCAGTGGCGAACACCAGCAGCCTGGTGACGTTGCGCCAGCCGATTTCCTCCTGGGGAGAAGGCAGYAGGGGTCGCGCCCGCTTCCAGGCTGGGTCCACCCCAGGGTCTCACAGCAGAGACGGGACCCAGCCAGCCCCTGCAGGTGCCTGCGATGCCCCCCCACGAGGGAAGCCAGGGAGAGCCAGACTCTGAGAGCCGGACAGGGCCGCTGGACCCAGACCTGCCTGGTCTCGCGCCTCACCTTCGAGGCCAAAGACCCCGGAGCCACAGACCTCGCTCTCCTGCAGGCAGGCCGGCTGCCCTCCCAGGCCCYGGCCACCACTGGTGGCCAGCGGAGGTCCCTGAGATGAGCTGCCAGCCAGGGCAGGCGACCCGGTGGCGCCTGCTGGGGTTCCCGGGTCTGGAGACGGCGGGGGCCCAGCAGGGGCAGGGCCTCACCTGGCAGGCAGCGACTTGCATCATGGCGTCCAGCCCGCCCTCGGGAGCGTCCAGGTTCCCAGAGATGAGCTGCTTCCCGACCTCAGCCTGGAACTGGTGGGAGTTGCTGGTCAGCTTCAGCACGTGCCGGAAGGCGAACGGGGGCTGGCACTGCTTCTCCTTGTTGGGGCACGGGTTCCTCAGCTTCTCGGGGTGCGTGTTGACGAAGGGCAGCACTGTCTTGTCCACGAAGGACCCGAAGCCTGAGGGCATGGGGCATGAGGTGGGCAGGTGAGGGCAACAGGTGGCAGGCTGGGTCCAGACAGCCTTGGTTTCCCTATCATGTGGCAGGGCCACGGGGAAACACGGCGGCACCTGTGGTCATGTGTGAGTGTGTGACGTGTGCACGTGTGTGTCTCATAGGTGTAGCAGCTGTGTGCACGCACACATATGACMAGCACATGTGTGAGCCTGTGTCAGTGTGTTCATGTGTGCACGTGGGCTTTCTGCACGTCAGGACTGAGGCAATGTCAGCCCAGCAGCGTGGGAGGCTGAGATAGGAGGATGGAGATCAGTAACAGTGAGGCCCYAAGCAACTCCGTGAGACCCTGTCTCTAAACAAGACAGAACAGGGCTGGGGCCGTGGCTCAGTGGTCGAGTGCCCTCACAGACTCAGAAAGGCTCAGGCAGGGCTGTTCAGGATGACACTGTGGGGACCGCAGCTGTCCTCGCCCCTCCCTCTGGCCTGCCGGGCCTGCCTTTTGTGGACGTGGGGGAAGTCTGAGACCCCTCAGCCTGCAGACTTGATGCTGTGATGGCTGCAGGGTTTGCATAGTCGTAGTAATCAGCTCTGTGAGACTTCTGTCTTTTAAACATATCACAAAATGAACAAAGGGCTGGGGCGGGGCTCGGTGGCGCAGCTCTGCCTGACGCACCCGGGGCCCTGAGTTTGAGGAGGGGAAGTGGAGCGCTGGGTGATGACCCTGAGTCTCAGGGGACCGGTGACTGGACACGGCGCCTGGTGGGGACACAGACCCGACTCTGGCCCCGCGGTGTGCTGGGGATGCCATGTCTGGAGCCCCYGGTCCCTGCACCTGGGGTCCTGCGTGTGTGCAGGGGTGTGGGCGGCAGAGCTGCCCAGGCCTCGGGGAAGGGCTGAGCGCGGCCTGCGGTGGCCCAGGGCCTCACCGATGCGGCCGGACTCGGTAATCTCGTTGAGGGCCTGGAGCAGGTCACCGCCCAGCTTCTTGACGTTGATGAGGTCGTCCAGCATGGAGTACGAGAGGTCCATCAGGTAGTACAGGTCGATGGGGTAGCCCTTGGCCCGCCGGAAGGTCACGTTGAACACAGCCGCCTGACCTGCCACCAGGGACAGGCAGCAAGAGGCTCCTGTCACCTCGTCCAGGGCATCTCAGGGGTCAGGAGCTGGCTGGGCCTGGTTGGCCCAGTCCCCACCCCCAGGCCCTCCAGACCGCCCTCCGAATGGCCTCCCGAGGCTGTGGGTAGGACCCAGGACAGCCAGGCCGCAGCCAAACACCGAGCCCTCCCCTACGTGGGCCGTGGGGGGCACCAGGTCCCCAGGTGGCTCCCCATCAAAGGGGCACCGCAGCCACTGGCCCATCCAAGGGGGCTGCCAGCTCCAGGCCTGGGCTCATTCCTCCACACCTGCTCCTCGGACAGCAGGGCAGGGTGTGCTCTGAAGCCAGTGTGTGGCCCATCTTGGGTGGCACTAGTTCCCCAGCCCCTCAGTCTCTTGACTGCAGGACTTCTCAGAGCCCTAACTCTGCCCCAAGCTCCAGGCTTGTTGAGAGGGACAGAGAACATTGTTTTCCAAATGTTCCTTCTAAAAACAGACAGAACACAGGGCTGGGAGGGAGACCAGACACCCAGAGCAGACATGGGGTGGGGTGGGAACCTGCCTGGGGACAGAGGGGGGACCCGGAGGCGCTCAGACTTTGGCCAGCCCCCAGCAGCCCCAGCCTCCCCAGGCCCACTCACACCTGGTCCACCCTAACACCTGGAGTGGGCCCACGCTCCTGGACACACAGGGTGCCCGCTCAAGCACAGCCTAGGCCCAGCCTACCTGGTCGCAGGTGCAGTGTCACTTTTTGTGGGGACAGCTGCTTCCAGGCCCCCTCCAGGTCCTGCTGGGGCTCGGCGAGGCTCCTGGGGTCCATGATGTCATCAGCCGCACAGCCCTTCTTCAGCAGCTGCTCCCGGGTGTCACAGCGAACCGAGTCGGGCTCCCCTTGCCCTGTGAAGTTCTGGGAGGGGGCAGTCAGGGGTCGGGAGGGGCCGCACAGCAGGGGCTGCCGGGGGCTGCGGGACCCTTGGAACTGAAGACCCAGCCCTGTCCCCCCTGCACTTGGAATTTGGGACGGAGTCCTCGGAGGAGTTGACCGCCTCCCAGCAGCCTCTCTCTGGGCTCCAGCACACACTCGGACCCTGGGGAGCTGACCACTCCCCACCCTCAGCCTCCCCAGCAAAACGCCTGGGGTCCAGTCTCCTGCCCGAAGGCTGAAGGAGAGAGTCGGCAGCTGGCCCCAGGGCAGGGAGCAGGCCTTGAGGGCCTCCCAGCAGCTCCTCTTCCCGGGGAGCGGCTTTCCCTGGGAGCTCTCAGCCAGCGGGCAGCCCAGGCCCCCCAGGCCACAGACCAGAGCCCCCGCAAACATCCTGGCAGTTCAATGGGAAATGCAGACAGAGGGGAGCAGGGTCCTGGGCCTAGGGGACTGATGACTCTGTCCCCACAGAGGTCCCTTGGATTCCGACACGGGCGTGTTTGGTCCTGGCCCGCTGCATCAAAACTGTTAAATCACAGAGCGTGGAGAGGCGGCTGGATGAGCTGCCGCTCTCACAGTGCACTCAGAACAGCCCAGAAGCCTGGGGTGGGCTAGTGCCGGCAGGTGGGGGGTGGGGGGAGGGAGGCTGACCCTTCCCGGGCAGCGTGTCCCGGTTCGTTTGACCTGTGACACTGTGTTAATGCCTTACGTACTCGAGAACTAAAAGCCATCGACAAGAGAAAAGAAACCTAAGATGCAGCCCAGACAGAACAAGTGAGCCTCCCTGTCTTTATTTCAAATGACCAGAATSTGCACACCCAGGCTTGGACCACACTCCTCAGGCCAGAGAACACAGATGATCCCAGCAGCACTGGGTTCTAGGTGGGTGTCACGTGTCTCTCTGTACTCGTGTCAGGACCGGGAGAGACAGGAGAGGTGCCCAGGAGGCTGGAGGCCCCGCTCAGGAGAAGGAGCCAGGGACCCTGGGGCCAGGCCAGGGAAGTGCAGGTCAGACCTGGGGCAGCTGTCAGTCCAGAAAGCAAGACAGTGCTCGGAAATAAAGAGGTACAGAGCCCACGGGAAGGGTTGTGCCACCTGGGGCCACAGGGTGGTCACAGTGTGAACAGCACCCACAGAGCTACTGGCCGGTGCTGGTTGGGGGCAGACCATATCTGCCAGCCTCAGAGGGCCTCCCCACAAGCCAGCCCCGCTGCCGGCTGCCAGGGCAGACAGTGGAACGGTGTGTCGAAGCCTGGCAGATGCCACCTTACCACAGGGACCAAAGTGTACCTCAACCAGAAGCCTGGGGCTCAGGGACTGGAGGTTCCCGCCAGGCAGGGCCACGGCAGGCCATGGTCATTCCCTTCTGAGGTCATCACTTTGAAACGCAGACTGTGACTTGAGAGGAGAGGGGGCGAGGTCCCACCAGTCTGGCTTTTCACCACGTTCTGAGGCTGGACTGTCCCCCCACACCTGGGTGCTGCGTCTGCCTACTTCGGGAAGCTTATCTCCCATGGCCTTGGATCAGGGCTCCCCCATAGTGGTGCTGCCTGAGTTACAGAGGCCTCTGGGCAGCCTCCTGCCTTCAGCACAGGCTGGGGCTAGGGCTGGGGCTGGGGCTGGGGCTGGGGCTGGGGCTGGGGCTGGGGGCGGGGTGGGGCTGGGGCTGGGACTGGGGCGGCCCAGGGCAGTCCTGTCAGTCTAACAATCCTGTGGCCTCTGAGCTGCTTCTGTTCCCCACCTTCCAGGACTTGGAGATGGTGACCCTTGGTGTCCCTAGCTTCAGCAGCAGGGATGGGGCCCAGGCCAGGAGGGCAGGAAGGGCGAGGGCAGCAGAGGCGTCCATGTGGCTCTTACCAGCTTCTGGCACCAGGCGCAGCCAGGCCCCGACTGGACGCAGTCCCGGCAGGTGCTGACCTTGTACTTGGTACATTCCTGAGAGAGGGCTGGGGATACGGACAGGCAGGTGAGTGGCCCCGTGTCCACCCTGGCCCACCGTGTGGGGCCCTGGGAGAGGATGGGGCCAGGCAGCGTCTGCGGCTCTACAGGGGCCCAGGAGGGGCTTCGAGTCGCCCAGTGTCGGGGTGCAGAGCAGATACCCAGGAGGGCTCTGTGGGGCAGAAGCCAGTGTGAGGTCCTTCCTCGGCCTCCCAGGGAGCGTGCGACTCCGCAGCCCACTCCTCCCCATCTGGAAACACCACGTGTGTAGTTGCACCCCAGTTGCACCCCAAACTCACCAGACCCAAGGGAGAGCAGCCCCACCAGGGCRAGCAGCAGGGGGCCCCGGCCCAGCATGTCCTGTGGAGGGAGGGTCTTGGTGACTGAGGGGTCCTGTCCGTGGTGCCTTGGGGTGAGAACTGGGCTTGGCCAGCATGTGGCTAAGTGGGCTCCTTTACCTTGGGGACAGTGCTCATCGGTGCTGTGGCCCRTGGGACTCTGATGCACCTGTCCTCACCCTTGCTCCCCCAAACCCTGCGTCTACCCCTGGCACTCTGGGTGGGCTCCCCCAGACCAGTGGCCCTGCCAAGCCCCACATCCCTGTCTTTTGGGAGATGGCCCTGTTCCCTCCCCAGAAAGACTGCCATCAGGGCTCAGAGATGTCCTCCCGGCGGGCTCAGAAGCACAAATGCCACCTGGTCTGGCTTCCTGAGGCAGCAGCAGGAGGCCCACCTCAGCTCCGGCCTCCCACACCGGCTCTGAAAGGCCCRGCGTCTCCCCACCTGGGACTCGGGGGTCAAGCCGAGGCAGCTGTGTCTGGTCCCACCTTTGCACCCACACCTCAAAGCTCCTTGCTGCCCTGTCTGGGGACCACAACTGTGCCCCTACCTCAACTGACCGGGGCCTTGCCAGGAGCCCTCTACTCAGATGGTCCCCTCTTGTGAGGCCACAGCTGCTCCGAGCAGAGTGGAGCAGTCCTCCCGGGACGCCCCAAACCCATGCAGTGGGTGAGCCTRTCGTGGTTCTGGGGAGGGACCCATTTAAACTCCATGCTCTCTCCTGGGCTACCACAGAAGGGCCCCCTCCCCATAAAACACTCATGACCACCAGCAGGCGAACTCCTTGGAGCCCTAGGCAGCAGGATGTGAGCAGGTGCCCCAGCGCCTCCATGCACCCCGAGAGCGGGAGCACAACTTGGTTACAGCAAGACCAACCCACAGACCACAGAGTCCTGACCTTGACCACAGGAAGCAGATGGGAAGGGCCACCACCTCCTTGTCACTCTGTCACCATGCAAGGCCCCAAGGTAACTGGGAGCTGGAGGCTGCTAAGAATAGTCAGCCCCCCCAGCCCCACACACCCCACAGTGGAGCCAGACGAAGGGTGCATCTGGGAGCGCAGTGGGTAGATGGATGAAGGCCAAGCTCCCGGAGGAGAGGCAGAGCCCAGAGGTGGGGCTGAGCSCTGGCTGGGCAGCAGGCTTGCCTCCATGTGGGAGGCAGTAGCAGCGCCGACCCCCAGCCCCTGCGGCCCCTGGGAGGCTTGGCAGAGCCTTCCTGGGTACAAGGGCGTGTCCCTTGCCAAGATTAAGGTTCAAAGCCCTACAGGAGGCTACTTGAGAAGCCCAGGAGCCACTGACCTGCCAGACCTTTGCATCAGAGCTGCCCTTGACCTCCACCCACCCGCTGGGGAGGGTGCTATCAAAACCCARCAACCTCAGGAAGTGGTGAGTGTCACCAAGCCCCAGTGCTGCCGCGGGCGGGTACCACCCACCCCAAAGGAACACCGAAAACCAGAACCCTAGTTCACCAAGAAGCAAGCTGGGAGCTGAGTGGCCCCTGGGGAAACAGGACTGACCCTTCCCCACCTCGCACAGGGCCAGGGAGCTCCAGGCTGAGAGAGGAGGACCTGCCGGCACAGCGGCTGCACCCGAGTGCCAGGACCCAGAGGTGGAGGCAGCAGGATGGCAGGTTCAAGGCCAGCCTGGGCCACTGGGTGAGGCCCATGGCAATGAGAATAAAAAGAGCTGGGAGGTGGCCCAGGGGCAGAGCACCCCTGGGCTCAGTCCCCAGTACAAAAAAAAAAAAAGAAAAAGAAAGAAAGAGGAGGTAAGGAAACTTGAGCAAGACCACAGAGGGCCAGAGGGTGGAAAACGGGTGTTAGGGTAGGAGCCTGGTGGGAGGGCTGGACACGGGTGTTAGGGTAGGAGCCTGGTGGGAGGGCWGGACACGGGTGTTAGGGTAGGAGCCTGGTGGGAGGGCWGGACACGGGTGTTAGGGTAGGAKCCTGGTGGGAGGGCTGGACACGGGTGTTAGGGTAGGAKCCTGGTGGGAGGGCWGGACACGGGTGTTAGGGTAGGAGCCTGGTGGGAGGGCAGGACACGGGTGTTAGGGTAGGAGCCTGGTGGGAGGGCAGGACACGGGTGTTAGGGTAGGAGCCTGGTGGGAGGGCAGGACACGGGTGTTAGGGTAGGAGCCTGGTGAGCAGGCTCCTGCTACAGACACAGGCTGGCAACCCGCAGAACCCTAAGCCGAGCTGCCTGAGAAAACCCAGCTCCGCTGGCCCAGAGAACTTAGCATCGGAGCCTGGCCGGAGGGTCCTGCTCGGAGAAGGAAGCCACCTGTGCTGCCGGGTCAGCGCCCCCCAGATAAGCACGTCAGGTGGGACCCAGGTGCCCGGAGGGGTGGAGAGGGGAGGAGGCCGGGTCCTGATGGCCACGTCCCGCTCCCTCATTTGTGATGACAGGTCTCCCCCACCTTTTTTTTTTTTTTTAGTTGTGGCTGGACACAGTACCTTTATTGTATTTATTTTTATGAGGCTCAAACCCAGGTCCTCACKCGTGCCTGTCCACCTGCTTGTCCTGAGCCCGGGGACAGCCGGTCAAGTGCTCTGCCCCTGAGCCCCAACCCCAACCCCCAGGTCTCTCCCCAAACTGGGGGGTCACGATGGCATCTTTTCTGCCTCACACACCAAAGGAGTGGTCAGCGGCTGGCTCCAGGGGCTGGAACACCGATGGGTGGCCACAGGGGCTCTGGGCAGATCTGGGGGGCAAGAGGGCCAACAGGAACACAGGCAGCAGAGATGGTCCCCCAGCCCCCCAGGGCGGCCCCCAGGTGCCTGTGAGGCGCGAGCACGACGTGAAGTCACGCGGCTGCCGTTTTAGGWGCCACAGTTTGTGACCAAATGGGGAAAAATGAACCTCCAATCCATATTAATCACCATTTAGAACCCTCCGGTGAAGACCCCTCAAGACAAGGAGAGGCGTCATCTTTAAGGGACAGCCGCCCTCCACGAGCTACAGCGAACCCCAGGGAGGCAGCAGCCCCCAGCTTTTGCTGTGGACATAAAGGATGGGCAATGAACACCTGCAAATTAGTTTTAAGAAATAAAACAATCAGGAAATGGAARATGTGTGTCTCAGACGAGGGAAAACTCAAGAAGATGGTGGACCCTGAATATGACAGATTTTGTGCATCATAAATTGCATAACAGGGGGCTGGGCTGGGGCTCAGCGGTAGAGCGCTCACCTAGCATGTGCGAGGCCCTGGGTCCGATCCCCAGCACCACATAAAAATAAATGAACAAAACAAAGGTTCTGTGTCCAACTAAAAAATAAACATTTTTTTAAAACTGCATACAGGAAGCTACTTACTATCTAGTGTAAAAGGTGAAGGGTGATCTTCATCTCTGAAGAGACCTTAGACACTCATAGCTTTTGAACGGGTCAACATATCCTAGGAAAGACCACAGGCGGTGGCCGGGAGAGGCACAAAAGCAGAACCACTCTGGGAATGACAGAAGTCACCCTCGCCCACGCCGGCCTGCCCACGGAGCACCTGGATCTCGGGCAGCTGTCAAATTGGAGATGTTTAGCCTTTATCACCAACGCCCTGCAGAATCGGGCCCAGCCACAAGACGCATGACCAACGGCTGAGGCCACTCAGGCTCCTGGGGGAAAGTGAGCGGGTGGACGGCAGAGGCAGGGGTCACCTCCAGCTCCGAGGGAGGCAGCGGAGTGCTCCTGATGTCCCCCATGGTCCCGTCTGGCTCTCCAGCTTTCTGCTGTAGGCTTGACAGCCCTGAGCTCCACAGTGCCCAGGGCACTAGGTGGAATCACTTCCCCAGATTCCCAACCTCCCAGGTTTTTTCCCTACTGCCCACGTGTTTGGGGACAGTTACATCATGGGAAGGGCCAAATGGGGCCTCAGGGCCCACTGGCACCTGCTCACTCACCACTCACTGGCTCCTCCAAGAAGCCTCCCACGGATGGGGCAGCCTGGGTGTCCAGGCTCTTAGAGGCCCACAGTCCCCGCTCCACCGAGTTTCCATCACACTCCAAGTGCTCCAACCTCACACTGAAAGGCCCACACCCGGCCCCTCAGTGCTTGAAACTCCAGTGGGCGGGACTGCTGCTGTGGGGCTGAGTCCCCGCACACCCCAGCCCTGGAGACCAGAGAAGCCGAGACCCTCTCCCCGAGCAGCGGGAGCATGCCCCTGGGAATGGAGGTCTCAGACTGGCCAGACCAGGGCATCCCAGAGGCCAGCCCTGCCCTACGTCTTTCGCCAGCAGGAAGTGAGGTCATGGCCAGTCATGGCTGGGGGAGGGGCAAAGGCTGTGAAAGGCCGAGGCCATGGCACTGAGGTCAGGGTCAACTCCAGGCAGGGGGCAGTGGTTGTACAGAAATAGGACTGGGCATTACCTGCAGGTCCACCCTGCTGGCTTTAGCCCGAGTTCCCCATGTCCTCCTGGGTGGTGCTCGGTGCCTGCTCCCTATTCTACTGGGGGGACAGGGGACAGCTCTGAGAGTCTCATGAAGAAGCCCGGCCAGGTCTCTTGCTCCCTGACTCTGATCCCCGCTGCCTTGACCCTGGGGAGGGAGCAGTGTGGACACACGCCTTTGGAAGGCCTCGGGGCGGGRAGGAGGCCCCACATCACCTCTTCAGGACAGGCTGCTCACGCACAGGGTGGGGTTCTGGACACCAGCCCTGTCCAGGGACTTGGGCCACGCCACAGGTCCTGCCCCAAGAGAGGGTCCCTTAGAAAGGCCACGAGAGGGGACTTTCCTGCCCAGGAGCAGAGTCATCGCCCCTCGCCCTGGCGAGGACTGGGCTCTAGCCACGGCCAGGGTGGAGGCAGACTCCTGCCAGGCTGACCGCACAGGCCGGCTGGAGGTCAAGGCTGGCCCCGGCAAGCTAAGGCCCTGTCAGCACCGCCCACTGCAGCCCAGGAGGCTGGGACAAGGGGCTCACAGTCACCGGCTGCCCGCCCTCAGCCTGCTGCTGCCTCTGCTGTGGAAGGCTCATGGCCCTGCACACTGCAGCAGAGTCCAGGAGGAGACCAGTGGTCCCCCTTGAATCCAGTTTGTGCAGAGGAGAATGGACACTGTCACAGTTAGGGCTCCGCCTCCTGCCTGGAGGTTATCTCGGGGGTCACCAGAGACTGCCGGCCACCCAGGTGCGGGCTCCCTGAGTGGGGCTTCTCCGCAGCCTGGCCCGTACCTGAGGGCGAACCTGGCATTGCCACACCTGCACTGGCAAGCCACTGGGGACGTGGCTACAGGAAGGACCACGGTCACTGCAGAAAGGGGGGCCAGAGCAGAGGCCCAGGCTGCACAGGGTGCCTTCAGGCCTCTCAGCCACCTGTCACCTGCAGGACAACACCTGGCCTGAGTGGACAGAGCCGTCCCGGGGAGCCCGAGGTGTCCCTGGGTCTCTTCCCCAGGGCAGTGAGACAGCTGGAGTTTGACAACTGGACCACCCCCACTTCACAGTTGGGGGTTAGGGGTCTGCTCACTCACGCCCCTTCCAGAGGGTGAGCACAGAGTCCCCTCCCCTGCCCGGATGGAAGGAGGCTCCTCTGCAGAACTTCCCGTGAGGGGCCCTGTGAGGGGCCCTGCTGCCTCGGGCTCTCTCCCCAGGTGGCCCTCTCCCCAGGTGGCCCGGGATGACTGTGACTTCAGCCTGCCTGCGGGCCCCTCTCTGTGTGAATGCCACCTGGGGTCAGGCAGCCACTGAGCTGAGCCAGCTGGGCTCAGCAGGGGAGTCAGGGTAGGAAGCGGGCTTTTCTGCCTCTCTGCTGCCCTCAGAAACTGCCCGTGTGCTCTTGCTGAGCAGCGGCCCTGGTGGCTAGGTGCTCCACCTGTCCTGGTGCCTGAGAGCAGAGACCCAGCCTCAGAGGACCCTGGTCTGTCAGATGCCACAGCCCCATGAAGGTCAGGGGGCCATGGTCTGGGCCCTGTCGGGTGTCCACCCCTTGGTCCTACTTGGGTTGTGACCCCTAGCAGGCACTGGATTCAGGGCCCGAGGCGTGGGCTCAGCCACCACCGCTCAGGGACCTTGGGACTTCCTCCTTCATCTGAATGCTGCGGGCAGGCTGGGCCCAGGCATCACCCTCCAGAGGCTTAGCCCAGACCTGGGGTCGCCCCGGAAGGAGAGCCCTCCAGCAGCTCCTGGAGCGTGGGCGGGACCTCCCCAGGCCAGGCCGCCCTCCTCCCGTTCCCTGCCCAGTCTGGCCCCCTCCTCCACGCCTGGGCAAGAGTCACTCCTGGGGAGGGGGCAGCAGCGCCTCCCTGCCCACAGCTCCCCCACCCGCCTGGCTCCCCACAGAGGCTCCCTCATTACAGGTGCCCTGGCCCTCCTGTAGCTCTGCCCGGGTGGCAGGCCACCTCCCCTGGCTGGGTCTCAGTTAAAGGGGCTTGGACTGCACATTCCCAGGACCCCTTCCCGCTGGACGCCCTGGACTGGGCGTCTGCACAGGTCCCCAGGGTCCACCCCAGGCCCAGAGTCGCAGGGAGTCGTTCCCCAGGAAGCAGCTACTCGAGAAAAGCCGGGCACTGAGGTGTCCCCCTTAGGACCACCCTGGCCCCGCGCCATACTCACCCACTCTGTCTCCTGGCGGCCTGGGCGCTGTGTAGGGCTGGACTGGCTGGGGCTTGCCCAGCTGCCCACCAGGCTGGCTCGCGGTCTCGTCTAGCGGACACAGTGAAGGCCCGGTGGGTCGTGAGGCGCGATGCTTCCTGTTCTCAGTCAGCTCCTCAGAGGAAGCAGAGTGACATGTGGCTGGTTGCCCCACTGGGGGCCCCTCACCCCAGTTTCTCTGCTCACCTTCTGCAGCAGGCGGGACTAGAGACAGCCCCAAGCCAGGGCGGGACCTGCTGCTCTCCTGTTGGGAAGTGGAACCCTGTGAAATGGAGAACCGCTGGGGACCGCAGTCTCTGGTGCTGGTGACGGTGGGAGACCGTCTGCAGACCAGCCAGACAGAGGGAGCGCTCCTCAGCGCTCAGAGAGCACGGAGCAGGAGGAAGGAGGCCGCCCGGGCAGGGCGGAGGCCGAGCACCAGCCCAGGATGGTGAGCAGGGACCAGGCCAGAAGCCAGGCCAGAGGGCACCTCCAGCACAGACTCCAGGAGGGACACACAGACGGGGAGGGGGGGGGACCCTCGGATGACAGAAGACTCCAGCCCAGAGGCCCCACCGAGGAGGCCACGGGGTGGCCCAGGGCTCGGTGAATCAGTCCTGCACCTGGAACACTGTGCCGAGGTCTGATAAAGAGAGTCTGCATGTCTGAGGGGAGGGGAGGGGAGGGGGAGGGACACAGGAGGAGGAGAGGAGACCAGCGCACCCCTACACCCACCCCAAACCGTCAGATGGCCAAGACTCAGATCACCACCCTCAACCCTCGGTGAAAGATGTACCCTAGACGCAGACAGGCGGATGAGAGTACAGTGGATGGTGAAAAACTGAACCCAAAATAAGTAAAAATCATGAAGTCTATAACCTGCTGATTTAAAAAATAATGGTGAAAATATCAGCCATCTGGAGGAGCAGAAGGACAGGCGGACGGGCCACAGTGCTGCCCATGTGATCCGGGAGGGCAACAGTACTCAATGGTGGGCATTTTGATAAAAAAAACCCTCAGGATATGCGTACCCCGTGGTTCAGTCTCCTTCAGAGTATCAAGAGTCTGCAAACATGGAAGAAAGGAAAGTACAGGAGCCCGGCTGCCGCTCAGTGTGGAGCGATGGCCTGGCAGTGTGAGGCGCTGGGTTCGATCCGGAGCACCACATACAAAAGTTTAGCCAATAAAATAAAATAAAGGCATGTGTCCATCTCCAGCTGTYTGCTGAACCCGATCAGACCAAGCCTTCATGTCCAGTCTCCAGTCTGTGGAAACAGCCAGCACCGAGGAGCGAGCGTGGGGGGCCCTGTGAGGGGCCCTGCTGCCTCGGGCTCTCTCCCCAGGTGGCCCTCTCCCCAGGTGGCCCGGGATGACTGTGACTTCAGCACTGCAGGTCACTGAGCTCAGTCCAGGCTGGAGAGGGCCCCGCRAGACAGCCACTGAGGGTCACGGAGAGCCAAGGAGGGGAGCCGGAGGTTTTGCAGGGGGAGCCTGGGCTAAGAGACCTAGGGACACATCAAGCAATCACAAACATTGTCATCATTAAGAAGTTGTGGGGCTGGGGCTGGGGCTGAGCCATAGAGCCCTCACCCAGCATGTGCGAGGCCCTGGGTTCCACCCTCAGCACCACGTAAAAATAAATAAACAAAATGAAGATGTTGTGTCCAATACAACTAAAAAATAAATATTAAAAAAAGAAGTTGTGGCTTTTTGCAGGTGAGATACTGTTTGTGGTGTGTGAAAGGGCCCCCATCTTTCAGAGTTATGTGGTAAAGATGTGCTTCCAAATGACCAGGGTGAGCTGGGGTCGGGGAGGGCGTGGGGGCACCAAGGAGGTGTGCTGGGGACCTGTGTGTCCATCACCCCTTTCCCCCACTTTCATAGGCACRTGACATTTTCTCTAGGAATAGAGAAATAGCTGGGTGCAGTGGCCACGCCTTTAGTCCCAGTGGCTCAGGAGACGGATGCAGGAGGATCGTGAGTTCAAAGCCAGCCATCTTAGCGAGGCCCCAAGCAACTTAGTGAAACCCTGTCTCTAAATAAAATATAAAAGGGCTGGGGATGGGGCTGGGTGGGTAAGCACCCCTGGGTTCATTCCCCAGTACCAAAAAAAAAAAAGACCCATTAAGCAAACCCTGACAACTGTGCTGGTTTGACACAGCCACAAGCATATCAGAGTGGGCCTGGGGGACAGGGTTCCCTCTCTCCAACTTGCAGAACCTAATGTTAAAACATGTGGGACAATAGTAACCAGGTCGCTCCCAGGCTGCCAAGGAGAGCTCACAGACCTCCTGAGAGGGAGGACTCAGACACACTGCAGCAAAATGAGCCCTGACCAGGAGAGTGCTGAAGAAAACGCAGCACCCTGAAAAGCTGAAGGCGAATGTGGCCTAGAATAAGCAAATGCACTGTGGCCYGTTCAGGCTGGATTAATGAGCACATTGACCACATGACCTGGAGGGAGAGGATCAGGTCATTCATCTCAAAACCACAACATTCAGATTCCTCTCAGATCAGGTCCCACAGCAAAAAAGGGGAAATAATCCAATTTAATAGTGTGCAAATGATCTGGCCGAACATTTCTTAAAAGAAGACACACAAACGTTTCACAAATATTTGAAAAAGTCCTCAATGTGYCAAATCAAAACCGCAGGGAGCTGTCACCTCACCCCAGTTAGAATGGCTGTCACCATAAAGACGAAAACAAGTGCCAGTTAGAGTGTGGAGGAAGAGGAACCTGATGCCCGGCTGGTGGGAAACCACGGGTACTGCCACCTCGGAGGAGAGCAGGGCGCTGCTCCAGGCCTGCGGATACAAGGAGCAGTGACCAGCATGGCCTGGGCAGAACCCCGGAGGGTCTCGGGGCCTCCCAGGGTCACGGCAGCGCTGCTCGCAGGGCACGCGGATACGGAGGGCGCAGCACCGGTGCGTGGTGGCAGGTGAAGGACGCCTCGCTCAGTGGGACACGTCAGCACAGGGCGATGGACACCAACGTTCTTACTCTTTCTGGAGCTAAAAGTTGCTCCCAGGAAACGGAAAGCAGAGGGCAATGGGCAGAGCTGGGGGAGGCCGGAGACAGTCGGGTCAGGGGCGGCTGGACAGGAGGAATGAGTTCCCAGGCTGCGGAGCGCGGGAGGGTAACCAGGCGGACAATAATTAACTGCATATTTCAAAACAGCTCGAAGGATTTTCAATGTTCTCAACACAAAGAAATGATAAATATTCAAGGGAAATGCCAGTTGCCGTGATCCGATTGTCACGGCTGTGCCTGTGTCAAAATACACTCTGAACCCCACAAGTGTGCCCCTGAAGAATGAAAAAACGCAGAGTTTTAAAAAGCCACACTTTTTACCTTTAAAGAGGACCTGGGGGGACTGAGAGCACCCGGCAGGGGGACCTGCTGGGCTGAGGGAACATTCCGTGGATCGTGGCCATGATGGCACAGCTCTGCAAACCATAAAAATCACCCAAGTGTCCTGAAGACAGTGCAGGGGCATGTGGATTCTGCCTTCAGAACCTTCCTCCTCGCGGTTTAAAATGACACRAAGCTACAGGTACTTCTGGTGCCAGCTGAACCGGAGCCAGTGTGGGCTACTGGCCCTCCAAGGCCAATCACAGTGGACCGCGCCTCACAGAATAAGATAAGGACAGACCAGGCGATAATCAGAGCTTGGGAAAGGGCTGATACGGTGGCGAGAGCACTGTTCCCCACCCCCACCCCCCCACCCCCGCCGTAGTGCCCGGCTTAGATTTACAGCAGCCAAGAGAGGCCCTCCTTCCTGACCAGGGCGGCCAGGGGGTCCCTGAGGCTGGAGTGCACGGGGGGCAGGGGGAGTTTCCCCAAGGCAGAATCCTGACCCACAGCTGCTCTTCCAAGGTGGCAGCAGCAACAGCTACAGCAGCAGAAGTGACAGCAAGAGTCACTTTGTCCCAGAGGTGAACCAGTTACAGGAAGAAGGGCAAGGAGGCTCACCCCTGCGTTGTGGGCCGAGGACAGGGCAAGGTCCTCAGAGCCCCAGGAGTGTAGGGAAGGTAGTGAGGAGGAGACCGGGAGAGGGAACCAGAAGGCTGAGTTCAAGTTCCAGGCTCCCTGAGCTGGCAGGTGTGGACGCCACCCAAGAGCTTTGAGAACTGCTGTGGGGTGGGCCTCCGCCAGGGTSGCAGACTGCACCGAGGGATTCAAGTGTGAGGTGGACACAGACACCCGGCCAGGCTCTGAACTCACCCTGAATCACCGCCCCCGAGAGGCAGGTCTGGACCTGGGCCCAGCCTAACCAGACTGACGGCAGGAACAGAACCATCAATGCCGTCCGGAGGGTCCTGATGACCAGTCTCGTTGAATGACGTCCAGAGTGCSCAGACCACAAGCTAGGACGGTTCCAACAACGACAGAGAAAACCCAGGGGCCCTGTGAGAGAAAAGATGGCCCACAGACACCCACATGCGGTGCCTCCCGTGAAAGGCTCCCACTGTCTGAATCGGGGTGAACGGGGCCGTGAAGAGCCAGGCACTGAACRCGCAGGTGAGAATTCCCAGGAGGATACGGAAGAATGAAGATAGAGCCTGTGGACATCAAAAGTCSACAGCACAACAGCAGAAATAAAGATTGCCGGATGGGTTTAAYGGGACCAGGCGAAGGCGGAGGAGAAAGAGTGAGTAGACATGGAGACCCGCCTGAGCCCTTCAGTGTGATGACAGAGAGCCCAGGCCAAACGTGCTCAGGGACGGGAACAGGAGCCGGCAGCACCGTCCCTGGATCCCAGCAGAGAGAGCAAGGGGGGCACAGAAGAGAGGATTGAAGCTCTCAGACTGGTGAAAATACACATTCACAGATGCAAGAAGTCGGTGAACTCCAAAAAGGACGGACTCAAAGAGAACCTGCTCCCTTCATCTCACTCAAGAAGTCTTGAGAGCTACCGTGGGGGAGGGGGTGGAGAGGTGGGGGCTGGGGGAGTGGGGGTGGGGTGGGGGTGGTAAGACACCTTCAGAGGAACCCCCAGGAGCTCGGATTTCTCATCTGAAAACCTGCAGGCCAGCAGATCATGAGCAACAGTTTTTAGAGACACTAAAGAAAAGAACTCTCCACCCAGATTCCCATATCCAGCAAAACTATTCTTCATGAGTGAAAGGAAAATAAGGACATTCTTAGATGAAGGAAAACTAAGGGAATCTGTTCCCAGAAAACAGAGTGGAAGTAAACCGTCGGCAAAAGGGAAATGACCCCAGGGAGAAACCTGGAAACTTAGAAATGAAGACAGAGCAGTGGAAAGGAGAAGTATCAGGGCAAACACCACTGGCCACTTTTTTCTTAAGTTCCTTCAAACGCATCAAACACAACACTTGCAACACGGTCTGGCGGGTTTTCGACACCCGTAGATGTAA